GAAATTTTGTGGTGTGGGGGGGGGGGGGGGGGTTTCAGGTTCACTTCTTATCCACGTATAAGGAGTGTGGATAGACTGCGATTGAACTTGGACACAGCAACAATGGCTTCGTGCGCCACTAACTACTCCCTCATGCTAACGTACGCCGCCTCTGCCGTTCATTCCCAAGACTTCCTCCCGCCCGCTCTCGTCTCTTTCAACAATATCGCCGTCTCCCTCGATCGCCCGCTTCTTCTCAGACAGCGGAGATCCGCTGCTCAGAGACCTTCCAATGGATCATTCCGCGTTGTTGTCGCCGCGGTGGCTGTCGAGGCTGATGTCGCTACTGACGATTTGGAGGAGAATGAAGCCATCGTGGCTCCGCCCAAGCTAAAGAAAGGAAAAGCCGCTTTGCCTCTCAAGAGAGATAGAGTATGCTTTATATATTCGTTTGCAGCAGGTTATTGGTTTTTAATTTCGCCAGCGTCTTTCTCCCCGTGGGCTTCTTGATTGTGAAGTAGAATTCAGATGTCCTTTCGCCATCTTCTTCCAGGATGTTTTAGTGTTCAAAGAGATGTAATAGGATTAACTGCTTGAGTGGCCTGAACCGAGCTAGACTTTGCTTGGTTGGGAGCAGCTTTTTAGTCTCTCTCCCGATCACTGGGTCAGTTCTCTGGTTTCAATCTTTAATCCTTTTCATTCCGTGCTGAATTTCACAGACAAGGTCTAAGAGATTTTTGGAAATCCAAAAGCTAAGGGAAACCAAAAAGGAATATGACCTGAAGACAGCTATATCTTTGATAAAGCAAACGTCAAACTCAAGATTTGTTGAGTCCGCAGAAGCTCATTTCCGTCTCAACATTGACCCAAAATACAATGATCAACAGCTGCGAGCAACGGTCAGTCTTGGGATTACAGGATATAGCATGAGAATGCCTTATAGCTCCTCATTGATGTATAAACTGTTGCATTGTCTCTCTTTTATAGGTGAATCTGCCTAAGGGAACTGGGCAGACTGTTAAAGTGGCTGTTCTTGCACAAGGTAGTTAGTGCCCAAAATGTTTGTTCAATTGTTAATAATAGCTTTTTGGTTGTGAGCAGTGTTTTCACTTAACTGAATGTTAAGATAATTTGTTTTTAGGAAATGATGATTTGATAAGTTCTGAACCTCAGTCCCTGATTTCTAACAAGAATCCGAACCTGAATTGATCTTCGAAACCGATTTACAACCTGGATCTTGTTTATAGAGAGGATCCCAACACTCTACCCCGTACAATCCTCCCCAAAATTCTGCATAAAACCCTTCTAATCCATCTAACCTCTATTTATAGCTATTGATTGTTGAAACTAGATACTAACTAGCTAACCAACACTAACAACAAAACAATTATCATGATGCTATGGTGTCAGAATACAGATAGAGTTTGGACCCTAACTCCAACCAAAAGGTAGCTTAAGAGTGGAAGGTTACCCTCCCTCTTATAGAGGCCCCAGATCCCTCTTTCGGCCGATGTGGGACTCCATCAATGCCACCCCCTTTAGACAGCGATGACTTTGGCGCTGGCAGTGTCACGGTCGTTCGCGGCTACTCCCATTTTTGGGTTCCTCTCCCGATCAGACCGTTGGCCCACCGGGTCAACGGCATGTCTGCAAGGTTTGGGACAAAGGCCCAAACCGGGCCGCAGAGAGATGGTTTGATACCAACTGATAGAGTTTGGTCCCTAACTCCATCCAAAGGTTAGCTTAAGAGTGGAGGGTTGACCCTCCCTCTTATAGAGGCCCCAGATCCCTCTCTCGGCCGATATGGGACGCCATTAGATACTCATGTCAGTTAGTGACCTTTCCATTCCGCCAATATCTATATACTATTTGCATCTTTTATTGCTGTTGCAGTCCTTCTGCTTCTTTGGCCTAGTGACATAGTTTGCTTTCATATAATCTGGTTAATCTGCTTTTGTTCTTCAGTTGGGAGGCTGTGTTTGAAATGATCTTGTTATTTCTCCTTTTCACTAAATGAATGCAGGCAATCTATATAAAGAATGGTCTAGTGACATAGTTTGCCTTGGGTTTCTGTTGTCAAAAGATGTGCAATTATGGCCTCTTATTCTGGTTTGCACCATTTCCTTGTTGAAATCTAGGTGAGAAGGTCGATGAAGCCAAAAATGCGGGAGCAGATATTGTTGGTGGTGATGATCTGATCGAACAAATAAAAGGAGGGTTCATGGAGTTTGACAAGTTAATTGCATCCCCTGATATGATGGTTAAGGTGTGTTATATCACTTGTGTCCCCTGTTTGTTCTCACTAAGCATCTGAAAAATAATCGGTTTTCATCCTTGCTAAAAACAGAGCAGACTAGATCACTGTACCTTGGTTAGTACCTAACCTTCTTGCCCATCACATTAGGTTGCTGGCCTGGGAAAGATTCTCGGCCCACGAGGACTTATGCCAAATCCCAAGGCTGGTACTGTGACAATCAACATTGCTCAGGTTTGTAATGCATTATAACTTCTATCCTGGAATGTTTCTCATCGTCTGATCTAGTTGTGTACCTTTCTTGTAATCACAGGCTATAGAAGAGTTCAAGAAGGGGAAAGTTGAATACAGAGCAGACAAAACTGGGATTGTTCACATTCCCTTTGGGAAAGTTGATTTCTCAGAGGAGGACCTTCTCATAAACTTCCTCGCAGCTGTAGTAAGCTATCGTTGCCTACACCATTTTTTGGGCCTTATTCTCTACCGTCTGTTATGTGTTTCATCGGGTGATGCTTGCATCAATCAACAGATGAAAATGAAAAGAAAAACTTGTGATAAATGCAGAAATCTGTGGAGACAAACAAGCCAAAGGGAGCAAAAGGAGTGTACTGGAAAAGCGCCCACATTTGCTCATCCATGGGACCTTCCATCAAGTTAAATATAAGGGAGATGATAGATTACAAGCCCCCTGCTAACGCCTGATTGAACAACTAACCTCATGTAAAGGCCTGGCAACTTATTATCTTGAGAGGGTAAGAAAAAGGAGATTTTCATTTGGTGGTTTTGCTTCCGTATATGTGGGATTGTTTTGCAACCGCCTACTTAGTTGCCAGGGGGAAGTTCTTTGTATGGCAATTACATCTTCTTTGGTGCCACTTTTATGCACAACACTCTTTAGGCCTCCTCGCATATTGTCCCACATTCAGATTTGTTTTTTCTAATGCACTGTTGATAACAGAGTAAAGAGTATCACTTACTGAGCTATAAGGGGAAAAAAAGAAGATGACATTGATAGCATCATCATGAGATGTTCTGGCTGTACAGACTTTTTTTTTTGTTGCATTTCAATCTATATTGATTAAGTAAAATGAATATCAGAGTTTAATACAACACGGCAAAACGCCGAATCAAAAGAAATGGATTCCACAGCAAATTCCTAATAGATAGGCGTAAACTCGATTAAACTACCCAGGCAAGGTCAGAAAGTGTCAATCTGATAGAGAGTTTGGTTCGCTTGTCCCGGTCTGTCCTCTGGGTATGACATCAATATATTCCGCATGAGCCGATCAATATAGATGCGAAGACCAGTCTCAGAACCACAGATTCCCTTGAAGATCCGCGAGTTACGTTCCTTCCAAATAGCATGCACCACAATCTGAATTATCAATTTCGCAATCCCATTCCGATCACGACTTAGAGTATTAACCGAGCTCAAAACCCATGTAGCACAACCGGTAAGGTTGTTCGGAGGAGATGGCCAGAGCTTATCAGCAACATGAGCCCATAAGGGGTAACTCACTTGACATCTAGAAAAGAGGTGCTCATGCGATTCAATCTCTCAACAACAAAAGACAGTGGGAGAAACCGCGAGGGTGGAGTCGAGAAAATCCTTGCAGCAGAGAGCGAATCTGCAGGCTCCACATTAAGTAGTTTGTTGCCGAGAGTTTTGTGACGTTTGTCACATTAATGTTGATGAGAGGGGAGTCGGGATCAGCCGGGTTGTGTGGCAGAACCGTGTCTGTGGCAGGTGCCGGGGGAGGGATCGGCGGTTGTGATGCGTCAGAACTGGTGGCATCGGTCGACATTGCCGTTTTGTATGGCTAGGGTTTGAAAAAAAAAAAAGGATCAGATGTGGTGAGACAAAGGCTCTGATACCATAAACAACTTTTGTTTCACTTATTATTCTCGGTAATGTTTACAAGGAATATATACACTTTCAATACAGTTTGAATGAGCTAGAAACAATGCAATTCATGAGCACATAATAAGGGATTTGATAGTGTTAAATATTTGACGGTATCTTGAAGATATCCTTCCTTTAAATAATAAGCCCCAACGATGTAAGCGGTCTTTTTTAGGTAGACGTTTAAGAAAAGCAAGCCGAAGAGTGAATCCATAACGAGGGATTCCTTGTTTGGCCCAAACCAATGGGGGCCATGACACATGAATAGAAGTCGTACGTAATTGGCTCCAAGGTTTTTAGGCCGAGAACTCAGGCTTATGGAGGGTGCTAGAATGTTTCCACTCATACCTATCCTCACCGTCTTCGACAGATGGGAGTCGAAGGTTTGAAAGGTTGACATGGAGGTTATGGATACGATCAGACCGAGCAGGTGGTAGCTGCCGACCATGAGACGAGCATGCATCCTTTACCCTCGCATGTCGTGGAAGCCTGAGGGTCTTGGGTCCATCCTCACCAATGTAGTCCAAGAGAGGGCCAAAGTCAGTCCAACTATCGAACCAAAAGGATGCTGTCTGACCATTCCCTACCGAGCAACGGATAAACTGCCCAGCAAGATCTCTAAGGCCAATGATTTTCCGAAGATTCCAAGAGAGATTCGGCGAGAGAGAGATATCCCAAAAACCTTTGCGTTTTAAGATACAACTCTTTATCCATGCGACCCGGACCCGCAACAACGCGGACTTTTGAAAAAGTAACCAAACTAGCTTAAGACGAAAAACCATATTTTTCTTTTTCTTTTTGTCCAATTCCCCTAGTGGCTTTTATTTATGTTACCGTCAAAAATGATGTTCACATTTTTTTTCCTGGTAAAAAATGATATTCACTTTCACTGTAAATCTTGGAAATTCTACGTGGTTCTTATTAAGCTGTGCACAATAACAGCGTTACAAAATCTGATTTCGGTAGGACATGTATTTATGTTACTAACTAGTAAGACTATTACGTGGCGCATATACGTGTGTATGGATGTATTTAAATAAAAGATTTGCCCATCTCTGGGCTACCCGGTGGAGGTGACGGGCATGGCAGTGTTACGCCCTACATCGCAATCAGTGCACGTGTCATGAGGTGTGTGGCAGATTCTTGAGACGGGGGTGAACACGTGGGAGTGCGGTGAGTTGAGGGATTGTTGTTTGACCAGAAGGAGACTGGTGCGGTGGACTTATCGAAAGAGGGACGGGGATCTATTGATACCTGATGGGCCAATCAGCCTACTGACGAGCCCGTCCCACCTACAAACGATAGGGCTCTGTTACTCTGAAGGTTGAAGTAAAAAAGGTTATAAAAATTCCGGTTATCTATTGGAAGGGGAATCTCAGTTTCGGATTCCATACACACACACAAATAAAAAAAAACATGTACAACACTGTCACACAACCGAGAGGGAGGATGGCTCCTTCGTTCTCTTTCATGTCGGAAGGAGTGCAGAAGGCTTGTTTAGCCCTTTTTGTTGTTGTGCGGTATTTACAAGCACTTGGAGTTCCAACGCAGATTCCTAACCCTGAAAACAGAACAAGAACAAGAGGATCAGAATACTCCTAACTACAAGATTCGTTGTTCACAAAAGTGATTAGAGGACAAGAATGATATCACGGTGGATCAAGCAAAGTCACCCAACCTGACCTTCTAATACTCCATATCCCATTTCCCACGCAACATTCAAGTTGTATAGCATAAACTATCATCATCCAGCAATCCCCATTGCCTTGAGATCCTATACAAGCCCAATCCCACATGCATCAGATCCCACCAGACCCTTTCAAGAATCTTCTTTACCAAGTCAAACAAACAGATGACCCACACTAAATCAATTATATGTGCGAGCTCCAACTTCTCAAAAGGAACGGATCATCTCACATTTTCGGCGGCCTTACCTAATTAAGAGCTCGGATTCAATCCTGGAGAATGATTGAATCTGCCATCTCCATCAGCGGTTGCAAGGAATCCGGCGAGAACTTCCTCGCAAAGAAAAAATCGAAACTCGAATTGGATCTCCGCAACGTCTGAATCAGCTGCGGCGACACCTCGGCGGCGGCGTAAGTGTGTGGGTGCCCGCCGACACTGTCAGTCCAGTTGACACGAGTCAAGGTGTAGTGGCTACAACCCTTGGGATCCTCCATCGACAGTAATGTCGGGAAGTAGTGCTCTTCTGGGTAGCAAGAGTTCTTGTTCAGGCATGGCAGTCTGAATTTCCTCCACAGTTTTCGCTCTTTGATCACGAGCAGAGCATGCCGTTTCGTCATCACGAAAAACTGCGACCCTACACGGAAGTCTTCGTATCTGACCTCCGGTAGCATCACATCCTTGCCGCGTGCGTCGTATCGGTCCCGAAGAAAGGGCTCATCGGAGAGGATCTCGACGAAGCTCCGGTGGTTTCGCTGGCGGAAGAGGTGATGGTGCATGTAAGGCAAGGAATGGAGGGGGACGCAGTGCTGAGAGACGAGCGCAAAGTAAAGGTTGTTCGGATCGTCGAGTATGGCGCGCGCTAACAGACGCCGCGCGGCGGAGATGAGCGACGGTGAGGCGCGCGCGGTCTTCTTGGCCGGGACAAACTGCGCGTTGATCTTCGAATCATACGGCGTGGGGGAAACTGAGGAGGAAGGATCGGCGTGGACATAGACGTTGTAGAGATGGTGATGGCCGCGGAAGAACTTCTCCCAGAGAGGGAAAAAGGTGAGGTGGGAGTTGGTGAGGAATAGAAAGGCGATCTTAGGGGGAGGACGAGAAACAGAGATGAGGCGGCGATTCCCGGCGGAGGCGGCGCGACGGAAGAGGTGGAGGTCGTCGAGCTCATCGACGGGGGAAATGATGAGATCTTGAGGGGAGATGAAGAAAAGGAAGAAGATGAGACAGAAGGAGAGGAAGAGAGCGAGGGAACACACAACCGGAGATGAAGAAGTGAACATCTCAGATTCCCCACGGAGACAGAGGAAGACGGTGAGGATTGAGATCCAAAAAACAAAACCGAGGAAGAAGGGGAAAGACGATCGATGACGTCAGCGATATTTTAAATAGATATTCAATGAGTGCCACTCCCCCTCTCTCTCTATGATTTTTACATAAATAAAATAGAAAAAGGAGGAAGCGTGTTCGTTTCGGGAACCTATATTTGTTCTCGATTTAATAACAAATCGGTCTCAATTTTCTAATAATGGGTTCATTGACCTTTTTTTATTATTATTATAATGAAATCACCTTGATGTAGATTATTGTTGATGGCATCGCGTTGGAGCACAAATAGAAAGATTTTCAGGAGATAAAATAGAAAAACCGAACCCACTAAGGGGAGTTTGAGTGAGTGGATATGATTTAGTATATAACCTTATCCACAGCAGAGGCGGAGGGATACTTGGAGACGCGGTCTAATAATGACGACAGATATTTTACGGTTCCACCGATCGAGCTGAACAATGGAAGTGATCTTCTGCTGCACTAGTAGCCACTTGCCGTGGGCGGCAAGGAAGCGGGGAGAGGGGAGAGGACAGGTGCCGAGGAGAGCTCTGAAGCTGGTGACGATATCGTGTGGGGGGAGACCTCTGAACAAGAAGGAGAGGGCAAAGAGGGCGTCAATGAGGGGGATGAGAAGAGGGGTGATACTGGGAGAGAAGAAGGGAGGCGTGAAGGACTTGGTGCTCATGAGCCTCTCTTTCGCGGTCTACGTCTACATTTCCCAGCAGATTGTCCGCGCTTACTTTGCCTGGCTCCACTCCTTCCCCAATCCTTCTTGGTAGCCTCTCCCTCTTCCTATCATTGTATATTGTAAGAAACAACCTTTGTATCAATACACGCTTGGAGTTTCTGTTTTGGTGTATAGAAGAATGACAGCCGACTATTTAATTTGATGCATCTGCTCTGCACTTTGGCACCTTCACAAGATATCTGTCTAATAGCCGGTAAACCACGCAGAAACAAAACTGATCGGCTCAGACCTCATGTGGAATCCAACACAACCTCGACTAATGGGTTTTGTCATTTTCTAACTGAACTGGTTCATCAGTGGTTTTAGCAATCCAAAAAAGATCTGAACATTGGTTTTAGCTTCTCCAGCTTCCACGTTTCAAAAGTTTTCTCCATGCACACCGATTTATCACAACAATTTCCCAACGCACAAATTGAGTGTTTTTTTGGGCAATTTGAACCATATTTGTAATTTGAATACATACACGAGAGTGTGTGTGCATAAAAAAAAAACGAACAAGCCACTCGCTGAGGATAAGTAGTAGTTGGTGGTAACGCTGCTAACGGGAGAAGCAACGGCGTTCACTCCACATCTAACGGAGCGGTGACGTGGCTTTGTATTTGCCATCAGTAGTCACTGAGATAGGAGATAAAACCCCTCCACCACCACCACCACCACCACTCTCAGAGAGATCGAACAGCTATGGCGGATAACGGCGGGGGGGGGGGGGCGGTGAATCCGAAGCCCTCCAAGGGTTTCTCCTCTAGGCTCATCGACCTTCTCGAGACTCTCTTCGTCAAGTTTATGCACGATGCTTCTCAGCCTCTTCACTACCTTTCCGGTAACTTCGCTCCTGTCCGAGAAGAAACTCCTCCCGTCAAAGATCTCCCTGTCACTGGTCATCTTCCCGTAAGATGTTCTTATCCGATAACTATATTTTTCCGGTTGGAATTAGAACTTAGAAGAAGCAACTTGATTGTATACCCTGTGGCCTGTCGTGTGGCTTCGTGTAATGTTTATGCCATCTTACGCACGTATATGGCGAAAGAGCACTCGCCCAGTTCCAGGATCCGGGTTCGGTTTAAAATCTCATGAGGTTGATGCTACTGCCTGAACGACAACGGCCTTAGTGGCATTTTCACCTGCAAATTGCTGATAGGCAACAACCTTTAACCCAAAAAAAAAAAAATTCGGATATCCATAAATTTTGTAGACCATGATTATATGATTCCTATCGTGTTTGGATTTCAGGAATGCTTGAATGGTGAATTCGTGAGGGTTGGTCCAAATCCTAAGTTTGATCCTGTGGCTGGATACCATTGGGGCGGTGAATCCGAAGCCCTCCAAGGGTTTCTCCTCTAGGCTCATCGACCTTCTCGAGACTCTCTTCGTCAAGTTTATGCACGATGCTTCTCAGCCTCTTCACTACCTTTCCGGTAACTTCGCTCCTGTCCGAGAAGAAACTCCTCCCGTCAAAGATCTCCCTGTCACTGGTCATCTTCCCGTAAGATGTTCTTATCCGATAACTATATTTTTCCGGTTGGAATTAGAACTTAGAAGAAGCAACTTGATTGTATACCCTGTGGCCTGTCGTGTGGCTTCGTGTAATGTTTATGCCATCTTACGCACGTATATGGCGAAAGAGCACTCGCCCAGTTCCAGGATCCGGGTTCGGTTTAAAATCTCATGAGGTTGATGCTACTGCCTGAACGACAACGGCCTTAGTGGCATTTTCACCTGCAAATTGCTGATAGGCAACAACCTTTAACCCAAAAAAAAAAAAATTCGGATATCCATAAATTTTGTAGACCATGATTATATGATTCCTATCGTGTTTGGATTTCAGGAATGCTTGAATGGTGAATTCGTGAGGGTTGGTCCAAATCCTAAGTTTGATCCTGTGGCTGGATACCATTGGCATGCCCCCTTCTTACTCTCATTTACAGTATACTAGATTCTAGAGCTAGTTTTACTGGCTCTAACGAATGAGAAACCACGGTGGAATTTTACTTGCTTGCTTCCTTGCTCTCTTTTCAGGTTTGATGGAGATGGGTGAGTGGATTGTTTCATTAACATCAGAATTGTCCAGTCTGCCTAGATATCAGAAAGGAATAACAGAGTTGCTTCTTACATATCGGTGTCTGGGAAGATTATTATGCATTTCTCTGTTCCATTGTTTTAACAGGCATTATTTCATTAGCAAATTTCATACCTCTTCAAAACTGCAGAATGATTCATGGTGTCCGCATCAAAGACGGAAAAGCAACCTATGTCTCACGATATGTAAAGACATCACGTCTTAAGCAGGAACAATTTTTTGGAGGTGCTAAGTTCATGAAGGTATGCCAGTAATCTGGATTTGTTTTCCGTTCATTAAGTTGTCTGCTCGAAGCTCGTCTTCATCTCACTTTGGCTGTGGAATTTTCTGAATATCGTTACTCTGTTTGTGAGAGTTTTGCAGATTGGGGACGTTAAAGGATTGTTTGGTTTGCTTATGGTTAACATGCAACAGCTGAGGACAAAATTGAAAATCCTGGATGATTCCTATGGAATTGGAACTGGTGGATATCTCTAGATAGAGGTGGTTTTTCCTTGATATTCTCTTCAAATATCCTAAAACCTCAGACTCTTTTTCCATGTTCCAGCTAATACAGCCCTCATATATCACCATGGGAAACTATTAGCTCTGCAGGAGGCAGATAAGCCCTGTAAGCCTGTGATTTCTCTTTGTTTTTCTTGACATAAGTTTGTCTCATATATATTCCTTCGATATTATGAACATGACTGGAGACCTTTATATGTATATGAAGTTTTGATGTGTATACTTGGGAAGTATGATGACGAGATATTGCGCTTTGCAGATGTCGTCAAAGTTTTAGAAGATGGAGACCTGCAAACTGTGGGCATGATGGATTATGACAAGAGGTTGACCCACTCCTTTACGGCTCACCCAAAAGTTGATCCAGTTACGGGTAAGGACCCAATTTTTCCATGAGTAGCAAATTGCCGTTTTTGCTGACACGGATGCAACGTCTGTGCAGGTGAAATGTTTACGTTCGGCTATTCTCACAAGGCACCCTATATCACGTATAGAGTGATCTCCAAGGATGGTGTTATGCATAACCCAGTCCCGATTACAATACCAGAGCCCATCATGATGCATGATTTTGCTATTACTGAGAATTATGCGATCTTCATGGATCTTCCAATGCACTTCAGGCCAAAGGTATGCACCTGAGTACGAAAGGGTAACCAAGAAAGTTCATCCCGTGATTATTTACTTTTTGTTATTTTGTAAGTTTTCTTTATACTTTTGTGCTTTTGTTGAAAATTGTCTCCCATGAACTTGTGTGCTTTGTTGAAAATGATGTCTAGGAAATGGTGAAAGAGAAGAAGATGATTTACTCATTTGATCTGACAAAAAAAGCACGTTTTGGTGTTCTTCCGCGTTATGCCAAGGATGAACTCATGATCAGATGGTTCGAGCTTCCGAACTGCTTTATATTCCACAACGGTGTGTGCTTCCATTCTCAATTATTGTCCAGTCATCAATATCTGTCTACACTCTGACTCACCTAATATAACTTCTGTTGTGGCTTCCAACATCTAGCTAATGCTTGGGAAGATGAGGATGAAGTCGTCTTGATCACTTGTCGCCTTGAAAATCCAGATCTCGATATGGTCAGTGGGAATGTCAAAGAAAAACTCGAAAATTTTGGCAACGAACTGTAAGAATCTGTGATCAGTTTATCTGCCCCTAGAACAGACTTCTCCGACATATTCTCCGTCTGATGCGCTCTCAACTGTTGGTGCTCACAGGTATGAGATGAGATTCAACATGGCAACAGGTGCAGCTTCACAGAGAAAACTATCAGCATCCGCTGTTGATTTCCCTAGAATCAACGAGTGGTACACGGGGAGGTAGGTGTTGATCCTTTTGTAAATATGTCTCCACACTGCTACGTTGTTGCCTTTTGTCATCAGAAGAACCTGGTGGATGAGAGAGAGACCTTGGCATTCAAAGAATATCCACTGTTATTTTGGTGTGTTTAGGAAACAGAGATATGTATATGGAACTATTCTGGACAGCATTGCCAAGGTTACTGGGATTATCAAGTTTGATCTGCATGCCGAACCTGAGCCAGGCAAAACAGAACTTGAAGTAGGAGGCAATATCATAGGAATATATGACCTTGGACCGGGCAGATATGGTTCAGAGGCTATATATGTCCCACAAGAGACTGGCTGTACAGCCGAGGAGGATGGAGGCTATCTGATTTTCTTTGTCCATGACGAACGTACAGGGTAATTCATTTGCGCAGTCATTTACATGATGCTTTGACATATCTGCATGAATCAGAGTGACAGAACGAGCGTGTCTGAAAATTGCAGGAAATCATATGTGAATGTAATAGATGCGAAAACAATGTCTGCGGATCCTGTGGCAGTGGTGGAACTGCCGCATAGGGTTCCATATGGGTTCCATGCTTTCTTTGTTACGGAGGTAAGATTCTGGATCGCTTTTTGCAAACATGCGAGGAAAGTGTGAGAAGATACCCGTCTCTAACAAAAGGGGTTTGCGTGAACAGGAACAACTCCAAGAACAAGCTGCTGGCTCTTATGCTTCGTAGCTGAACAAAATACCAAGTCTCCGAGAGTCATGCATCTGTTGTCCGTATCCCCGTTCTAAACCAAACACAGCTCTGCCACATACATCGTTTGTGTTGCCGCTTATAAACGAACAAGGTTGATACCTTCTACTGTATTGCTTCTTTCTTCTTTTTGCCTATATATGGCAGTGCATATGTTAGATGATATTGCGTACAGAGGCTATTAAGATCTCAAACTAAAATTCGAATTCAGAATGAGAAAAACTAAAACCTATGGCAGCGAGGCAACAATTGAGAGTCGAATCCTGCATTTCCAAGATGAAGCAGAATAACTCCAGCAATTTCCAAAGCTTGTCGCCTTTCTTCTCAGCGTCTGTTTCACCTTCATTGCCCCGTCTCTAACTTAACAGTGGCCGGACATACACTCCTATGATCATGCTTCACTTTCCTCTCTGATCTTTCACGCTCTTCTATTCTTTTATGGAAAAAGGGTGCTGTCAACTTGAGATCAAGTAAGTGATACCCCACATGTGAAAAAATATCCCACCAGACACCGCAGGTTATGACAATAGCGGGAAGCCCTCGTAGATATCCAGAATTCCCATATTTAGAAAACACAGACATACGGTTTTTGCTTTGAACGCCTACCTCTCTCACAAGCCATGATTTTTTACAAAGGGTTTGTTTGTATCCTCCAGCTTCATAATAGGAAGATTCCACCTGCACCACTTCACACAAAATCACCAGTACTACAATAAAGACACAGATCCTAGCTGAGTTTGACAGTTAAAAGAGCAAAAAACTGTATACCAAAGTTCCCTGTATTGAGGTACACCTCTGATAAGCCGAGGAATGATAAATATGGATACAGATGAAGAAATCAAATTCAATGGTCTTACGGTGAAAACAAAGGACATCTGATATGAAATCGTATGGTAAATTGCGTGTTATCAGTGAGAAAGGGCCTCAAAGCTTGCTATAATCCATCCTTTTCACCACAACGTTTGTTCCCACAGAAGAACTGCAGTGACATTGACAGACTCAAAACTCCCTCCCATATGATTAAAAGGCATCCCAGACAGCAGATATTACCTTTTCCCAAATTACTTCCTTTTCCTTTCTCCATCTCAAACCAGTCTATTATCAAAAGATCTGAAACTTCAAGGAAAAATTAGTACCGGATATTAAACAACTAAGAAAGGATATCCACATTTGATGTATTATATCCATCCATCAAAGTTCCTTGGCCGGTCTTGTATTATAAAGTATCTTCAACAAGTTAAGGAGGTGAACATGCATGCATCCACAAATACGAAATTCAGGAGACCTCCTTAAGGCCTAGTAACTAGTCTAAAGCTGACATGACAGTGAAGATACACTTCCTATACTTTTTCTATTCTCCTATCAGCACAAAGAGTGGTTAATAATTTATGGGACAGGTTCCAAAACTAGTCTCATAATTGTAGATCTCTGAAAATGAAATTTTTCCAATGGCAGCAGCATCCTCTTCCACTTGCCAAAACTTCTGCCGCACCGCAATCATCAATGGTACCAAGGACCATCTCAAGGTTTAATATAGGAGACGCAACACCAGTAGATCAATGATACTCCTTAAAAAACTTGTCTACAGTATGGCTCAACCAGCCTCTGAACGAACCCGAAACTGAAAAGGAAACTCGCAACACATCATTTTACATATTAGAAGATACAAAGGAACAAAAGCCACTACTATTCATAAGCAAAGTTCTATGTTGACATGGGCAAAACACGAAATAGTATCCAACAAGAAATTTGATGGAGCATCAAAGCATGTATACCAAGGCTCAGAATACCATGGATTGATCAAATTTGATTCAAGGGATACATCAGGAAAATATATAGGCAACACAAACTGTAAGCGGATTCAAATTGGCATTCCCTATATCCTTCCCCTAGTGTGTCGCCGGCAACCTATAGAAACGAACTGTCAAGAAATCAAGAGAATTTCAAAAGCACACGAACTACAGGATTTTCCTTGGGAGCCACAGCTGGAGAAGATATGGTGAAACTAGAGCAGCCAATCATTGCATCACAAGAGCTGCTTCGGGCTAAGGAAATTATCTTATGGAAAAGGAAACAAATGTAAAATGTGAGGCTGACAGTAGCCTCCTTCCTTCCTCACAGGAGAAGACTGTTCATCAGCCACTTTGATTTGGGACACAGTGACTTGGACAAATACAAATGCTACATATTTGTTCAATTCCGAAACTTGTCCCAATGTATTTAACCAGAAACGCCGAATCGGGCGAGGGGAAAAAAGGGAAAAAAAGCGAACAAGAATCACAGGCAGAAAGACGCAGGCGGGTTGTGGGAGGAGTAGAATATACCATAGTCATTCAGAAACTTGTTATGTAGACCAGGAATATAAAGCTTCGTAGTGCCTGGAAAAGAAGAATACAAGACCAGATTGCGAGCGGAAGAGAGAGAACGACAGAAGAAGTTGATGGAGAAAAAACGAAGGAAACGTAGATGTCGGATCTGAGACACGCCGAAGAAGCCATGGCCATGGCAGCGTAGCGATGATAATATATGTATAGGAGCACGTCTGGAGAGAATCGCACAAAACGGTTGGGCCATATGCAGGCGGCCCAATTACGCAAGTAAAAAAAAACAATTTGATTCAGTACTAGGACAACTTGAGACAGACTTGGGCCTTGAATGGAATGGAAGTGGCTTTGGGTTTTTAAAATCCAAATACTAAATTTGAATGGGAAGAGAGTTTTTAGATTTTGAAAATTGAAAAAACTGATAATCAATTTTTTTAATTTGTTTTTTTCTAAAAGTACATCATTCTATTTTATGAAAAAAAAATCAACTAAAAATCCAAAACCATATCTTTTTAGATTTACATATTTATAAAATCCAAAAATTAAAAACCAAATACTAAAACCAATAACCCAAAATAAAAACCACTCTCATTCAAAATCTTACAATTAAATTTTTATAAAAGTAGGTTTTTAAAAAAACTTAAAAAACCATTTCATCACAAAATCAACTAAAAACTAAAAAACTTTCTTTTTTTGAATTTACAAAAACCAAAAACCAAAATCCAAAAACCAAAAACCAAAAATAAAAACCACTACCATCCAAAATCTTGTATGTAAATATGTTGTCCTTTGTCGGTGGACTACTTATCTTTAATTAATACATAGGAAAAAATATATAAAAATTTTCAAACTTATAATTTGGTTTTTTGCATGAAATAATAATTGTCAAACTTGAAAAAATTGATTCAATAATTACTAAACTTGTTTAAAAGTATTAGATAAAATTTTCACCTTTGTTAACTGATAAAGAATACTACGTGATTTGTAATGTTTGACGACACATCAATTTTTTTAGGGGTGGGCGTTTCGGGAAACGGTTCGGGTTCGGAACAGAAATTGATCGGTTCGGTTCGGTTCGGTTCGGTTCGGTTTCGGTATCGGTTCGGTTTGGTTTTGGGTTTTATTAAAAAAAGGATATATTTCTTTTAAAAATATTCGGTTTTTTAGGACTTTTAAAGTTCGGTTCGGTTCTGGAAAAATTCAGTTATCTAAAAACGGTACCGTTCGGGAATTAAGAACGATTTCGGGTTGGAAAAAATAACGTTTTTTCGGTTCGGTTCGGTCCGGTTCCGAAGAACCGAACTGAAACGTCCAGCCCTAAATTTTTTTGCCACGCATGCAGAAGTGGATTTTACTGAGTCCCATCTCATTGTTGCTTTCGTGCCCTGTAAGCCATATTTTTTCTTTCTGGAGGAGCACAAGCTTTGCTTCTCCATCTTTTGATCCATGTTCATTTTCATGGGCAAAGCCTAGTCCGCCCGGATCGGAATGAGACTCAAAACGGGTCTGTCTCGTTAATGGCCAGTCCGAATGGACCAAGGTCCAGTATGTACGGTCCGACGTTTCGGAAACTTTTCCTTTTTTCATTCCGTTAGGGTTTTGGAAGTATTTTTAAGACAAAAAGATGCTGCCCAAACCATAGAACACACCCAAAAACTCATGACACATCCTAGAGAGCAAGAGATGTTTTTCCTTGTGATCTATCTCACGGGATTGGATCCTGAATTTTTGAAACCATGATTCTCTTCACAGATACTAGCAGACAGTTCTAAAACGTTTGAAATCCTTCCTAACATATCAGTTCCAAAATGTTTGAAATCCTTCTACCAGATCACTTTCGTAGTTGTAATCGCTGTCAAATGACTTTGAATTCCCATTGCGTTCTTAAAACATACGTATTCCGGGAATTTTGCCCAAATCCCACATCCTCACACAAGCAATTTCCCTATAAGACGATGTGGAGTTTCCAGATGGGCTTCGGCTTGAGGAGGCCCAATCGCTTCCTCTCTGTTTTTGGGTAGGTTATGTCAAGTTTGGGATGTCCTACTTCCTCCTCAGCAGCGGCAAATGGCAATGAAGGCATGGGACGCGACCCCCTCCACCCTGGAATCGGTGTTGCAACGTTTGAGATCTGAGGCAGTGAACCGCAAGATCAGTCTGATTCTCTTCTTGGCCGACAAGGATCCCTCTACCGATCTCAGCTGGTGTCCTGGTCCGTTTTTTTCCCTTCCTTTTTCGCCTTTGGATGTCTGATTCACCATGGTCAATGTTTTATCATTATCAGACTGCGTGAGAGCTGAGCCTGTGATTTACAAGATGCTGGAGGAGTGGCCTGAGGAGGTGAGCCTTATTCGGGCTTACGCCGGCGACCGAGCTACCTGGAGGAACCCGGCGCACCCTTGGAGACTCGACCCTCGGTTCAAGCTCACCGGAGTGCCCACCCTTCTCCGCTGGGAGGGGGACCGTTTCATCGGCCGTCTTGAGGATCACGAAGCCCACCTTCCTCACAAGATCCACGCCCTTCTTGCTTCCGGTTAAATTCCGTTTGTTCCTGTTTTATGCCCCGAAATAAGACTCTCGCCAGGTTCATAATAAAATCATGGAAATTTATCATTATCGCCTGTAGCTGACATTTGTGGATCATGCTTTGTCAGCAGCATAATTGCATTATATATTATATTAATACAACTTAATGTTAGTGCATATGCAATATATTGATATCAACTATTATAAGGTAAATAGGTGATAATTATATTATATTAGCCCCTCATACAGTGTTTCAACTGCAGATTATAGACAAAGAACTCCTTGAATGCACAAACTCAGAGTTAGGTTCTAACCCTGGTGGAACATGGCAGTGTCCTAATGCCACTAATGATTGAAATGTACTCTAATTGTGGTTCAGTGGATGATGCGTTACGCATTTTTTAGAAAATGCCAGAGAATAATTCGGAGACTTGGTACACCATGACAAGGTGTTTGGCTAAGAATGGTAGGTGAAGATGGCATTGATATGTTTCGTTTCAAACACGAAGGAAACAAACCCGGCCATCACCTATGAAGCCAAATGTTGACGTGTGGGAAACATTGATGAATCTTTCTCGGGTTCATGGGGATTTAGAGCTTGAAGATCAATGTGCTGAGAATGTCCCTCATCTTATATGGAGATGGAGATACTGCAAAGGCTCTATGGCCTATTGAAGAGTTTAAAGGCGCAAATAGTGGAAATGGGGTATGTCCCTGATCTTATACGTGTTTTGCAGGACGCTGACCCAGAAACTGAGGAGGAGACCCTTCAAGCCCACAGTGAGAGACTATCTTTTGATCCCGGTCTTCTGACCTCTCCTGCCCATTCTACTATGTTTTGATTGCGGGCAGAGAGTTCGTTGTGCGAGATGCGAAGATATTCCACCATCTTAAAGATGGGGATTGCTCTTGTAGAGACTATTGGTGATCTAGTGACTGAGAACCCTGTGATAGGCGCGAATCTACTGAATGGCTCCGTAGTTAAAGATGGGGACTGTCAGCAGGCTATTTGCATTTGTATGACAAAAGCCATATCAATACATATATAAGTTTGCATTTGCACCTCTAAAATACGTTTATGCTGTAGAACAAAGCACTCAACCATCAGATATTTTATCTACTCGTTTCGAGTAGCCTCTCGCTATGCCTTGTTCACACGAATCCTTTGCCCGTCCAACAACTACAGCGACAGTAGAACAATAAAAGAATCAGCCGCGGGCATCAGGAAAGAAACGCAAGGAAAAGATGAAGCTACTTACAGAATTGTTGAAAGCCAAGATGGCAGCTTCTGCATCCTCTTCCGACGAGAATGCCACAAAGCCGAACCCGCTGGATTTTGAAGTTCCAGGCACCCTTGACACCTTGGCGCCGACCACTCTCCCTTTGTCCGAAAAGAAATTCTTGAGCGTGTCTGTCGTCACAGTCCTGGCAAGGTTTCCTACGTAGACCTTGTAGGGACTATCCAGGAGAGCAGAATCTTCAGCCTGAAGTAGAGATAGATCCACTGATGACATGGGTTTCTCCGTGATGTTAACCTTGATCTCACGCTCTCCTATTTGCTACAACAGCCAACATGACAAGTTATATAAGAGTAAAACCCAGTAAATGTCTCATCTTACATAAGAGTAAAACAAAGGATTATCCGGTTGAACTCACAGTGCCATTCAATTTCTCGATCACAGCGTTAGCATCCTCCACAGATTTCATTGTAGCGAATCCAAATCGACGGCTTCGTCCAGAATACTTGTCATACATCACCTGATGACATAAAAAAAACCCCGCACAAGGGCATTCTGGTGAGGATGCACCAGCTAACACACTAAAGATGGAACCAATAAACACGTCAGGGAAAGGAGAAGCACCTGGACTTTTTCAACAGTACCGTGCTCCGCAACAATCCTGTTGAGATCATCGTTGTCCATCGTCCTGGGGATGTTGCCGATGTAGAGTCGACGAGCGGCTTCCGAAGTAGGATCCACGGGAGGCTGCGTCGACATCTCATCCGCCTCCGCGACTGCAGCTGAAATTAGTGGAGAGCCCCTGCGAAACGCCATTTTATAGGCAGAAAAAGGAAACGGTTTCGTCCATGGCCGAATGGAAGAAATGGATTTGGCCTGGAATGTGAAGAATCTAGGCTTAATTGACACAGCTGTTAGGGGAGCTGCCATTGCTGAGGGCATCCTGAGTTATCGGTTCAATGGCGATGGGGGTTCTGTTTTCACTTTTCAGCGGCTTCGACACATTATCCGTTAGGATGCGGGTCTTTGGGCCTAACATGGGCCGCATTTGAGCCGATGTTATCCTCCCGGATATACATCCGTTAGACTGCAGCTCTGCATAATGGGACGTTGAATTGTTCTTAAAGCTCAATAACCCAAAAGAAGAAGGGGTAAAAAAAAAACCCAGTTCGTGGCGGGTAAAGATAAACAGATGACAATATTTTAGTCCTGCAGACCCCTGACTATATTGTGCAAATTTTGATTTCCCATTTTCAGAAGATTAGACATGTTTTCTCCGATGATTGGCTTATCTCTCGTCCTTTTTTTTTTTTAATGAAACTAGACGGTCTAAAAATACATGAAGTTTTAAGTAATTTTGTTAGTGGGCAAAACCATAAAAATTCCTGAATTTGTAATATGGTGGAAAATAAATTCCTAAACATTTTGATTAACAAATTTATTCCCAAACTTACAAAATGTATCATTGTAATTCCCAAACTTGTTAATTGGTATCATTATAATTCATAAACTTGTTAATTAGTGTTAGAAGAAATATCGATGATGTTCATTCAAAAAAAAGTTTGAGAATTATAATAACACATTTTACAAATTTGGGAATTATAATAACTCCTTTTGCAAGTTCGGGAATAAATTTGTTAAGCGAAAAGTTTGAGAATTTATTTTCCATCGTTTTACAAGTTTAGAAATTTTTATGGGTTTTATTCAAATAACTAATTTTTTAAATATAGTTTATTTTGTTTTTAAATTTATAATTTAAAAGGAAAATAACATAGAAATACCTGAATTTTTACAAAAATCTCATATAAATACATGAACTATAAAACTTCCATATAAATACCTGAACTTTTAAAAATCCTATATAAATACCTAGACTTTAAAAAAAATCCAAATAAATAAAATTTTCATATATTTTTCAAATAAAAATAGGTGATATTATTAACGTATTTTGAATTTATTTGGAAGTTTTTCAGAAGTCTAGGTATTTATATAGGATTTTAGAAAAGTTCAGGTATTTATATGCAAATTTTATAGTTCAGGTATTTATATGAGATTTTTGTAAAATTTCAGGTATTTATATGCGATTTTTCCTAATTTAAATTCTTAAATCAATATAAAAAAATCTTTTCTCGAAATATCAATGGTAAGGGTTTAGGGTTCTGGGTTCAGAGTTCAGTGGTAAGAGTTAAGGGTTTAGCATTCCAGATTCGGGGTTCAGGGTTTGGGGTTCGAGATCAAGGGTTAAGAACCAGGGGTTTGGGGTCCGAGGTTCGATGTATGGGGTCTGACTTTGAGGTCCGAGATCTGAGGTCTAGGGTCCGGGATTTGAGATTTGGGATTAGGGATTTGACGTTTAGAATTAGGGATTTAAGGGGTTTAAGGATTTAGGGTATATATATACATATGTATATAAATAAGTATATATATATATATATATGTACACACATATATCCATATCAATAAATATATATATAACATCTTCATTGTGACAATCCATTCTAACCGAAAAATTATAAACGGGGTATGAAGGATTGAAGACAGTGATTTAAATAATTTAGAAGTTTAATAAACGTTAGAAATAGAAATAAGAATTTACCGGAGGGATTTGAATTGTATTTTACCTGAAGCAGAATTTAAAATCCAAAAAAATTTATTTACTCAACTCAAAAGTTTAATAGAACTCTGGAGTAATCCGTTGGAGATCAATAATTATTTTCTTTGTTTCCAACGATCCCAACATTTCAAAATTATTTTGAAAACAGGAACGTAAGTCCGAGTCGAACAAAAGAACCCTGGGATTTTTTTTACTCAAATCAAATGGGATTTAAACATAGAAATGATCATTTCTATTTACTCTCATGAACTCTAAACCCTGAATTCCTGACACCTAAATCCCTAACCTCTTATCCCTTAATCCTAAAATCCAAAAACCAAACCTCAGAACCCGAATCCCAGAACCCCAAAACTCGAAATCCAGAACTCCGAGCTCAAAATCCTTAACCCAATAAACCATAAATTTATCCATGGTCTACTTAGACTTGACGCCATCTCTCGTAGCTTACCTGGACTTGGTCTAAGGTCATTCGCTTTTATCTAGATTCATTGAACCATGGTGGTTAGATTGTTATACCAAGTAGATATGGTCTTTATCATCCATTTTAGGGAAGATTATATTAGGACGGATTCGAGGGAGATCTCGGATCTTGTGAGATTCTTTACTCGATTATTAAGCTCCACCTATAACAAAGAGGGTCGGCCGAACATGAGACCCATCTAAAAATTAACTCGAGTCTACGCCACTTTATCTCTTTTTATTGTCATCGATTCAACTCCGATTAACGATGTTGACCTTGTAATGAATCCCGACATCCCCTTGTTTCCTTTTGCCACTAATAAAACTGTCGTCGTTGTTTTGTTCACTCGCTCTCGCCTCGTTCCTCGGTCCCTTTCCCTCGCCCCCTTTCAGATTGTCGCACATCGTCACCCGACCGAGACTTTCTGCACATGCCCAAGATTAGCGTCAAGTATGTCCGAGAAATCCCCCACGTTATGCAATCGAGAAATGCATCTCATAACCGAGAAACTACGTCCAAAACCGAGAAACCACATACGCGACAGATAGAGACTCACGCACCTATCTGGGAGATTCTTACTCACAACTAAGAATCTATGCACAGTTCCGAATTCCTCACTCCCTTCGCCACCAAGAGACCTCGCACCGAGACCATCAGCCCCGAACTCAAGGCTTAGTCCAACTCTGTTCATCCGAACTGCAACATACCATTCGTCCGAACCACCCGCTGTGCAACCCAGCCAGACCGCTGCATGTGGGTTTTCCTGTCTCATACATGTTAGTGATTTTAGAGTAGATTGGTGGACTTTTAAAATCACTCAAAGGATTCATGTTTCACGTGTATTACAAGTATGGTGGTGGAGTAAAATGCTTGTAAAAGACGTGTCATGAATTGGTTAAGTGTTAAGGATTAGTCGGAAGATATTGTAGGTAGCTCGTTTTTTCTGATTAAGAAAACTGGAAAAAATGAGCGACCGCTCGTAAAAATGAGCGGGTAGCTCATTTTCTCTGATGAATAAAACTGGAAAAAATGAGCGACCGCTCGTAAAAATGAGCGGGTAGCTCATTTTCTCTGATGAACAAAACTGGTGAAAATGAGCGACCGCTCGGGAAAATGAGAGGGTAGCTCATTTTCTCTTATGAACAAAACTGGGAAAAATGAGCGACCGCTCTGGAAAATGAGCGGGTAGCTCATTTTCTCTGATAAACAAAACTGGAGAAAATGAGCGACCGCTCGGGAAAATGAGCGACCCGCCTGATTTTTCTGAGCTGTTCAAAATGAACGAAAAATCGTGACCGTTCGGAAAAAACTTCTGAAGTCTTTGCACCTTTTGACTTTTGGAGTGTTAAAAACATTCCTAGACGTCTGAACACATAAGAGACGAAATCTTATTGATTTTTGAGAGATTTGAGAGCCATTTTGGTGAAGAATTTTGCAAACTCTTCTCCAACTTTTCTTGTTCATTCTCATTCGCAGGTATTTCTGTTTCGGGCAACTTTTGACGAGTGAATCAATCGTTGCTGATCTTCTTTGTATCTCTAAACGTATTCTTGGGATTCTCCTTTGCTCGGTAGAGAGAGAGTAAAGTTTTAGGAAAGTGAATATAATCAATAAAAGGAAGCTTAGTATTATTAATCACATATGAGGGTATTTATACAAATAGGTTAACCTAATAATACACATGTAAAAATACATATTTATCCCTCTATACGCCCCCTCAAGATGGAGCACCGGAGGTGAGTCCAATCTTGACAAACAAGTCATGAAACGGAAACCGAGGCAAAGGTTTCGTGAGTGCATCGACGAGCTGATCGGCAGCAGAAACATGTGTAACACGTAGATCACCAGACTCAACAAGACTCCGAACAAAAAAGTAATCGAGGGCAATGTACTTCATGCGAGAATGAAATACCGGATTTGCCGAAAGATAAGTTGCACCAATGTTATCACAATAGATAACCGGTTTGGAAGTTGAAGAAAAGCCGAGCTCAGAAAGGAGGGATACCACCCAACGAACCTCAGCGGCTGTAGCAGCAACCGAACGGTACTCAGCCTCAGTCGAAGAACGAGCAACACCCGATTGCTTCTTAGATGACCAAGCAATAGGATGACCACCAAGGAAGACAACAAAAGCTCCCGTAGACTTGGACTGATCAACACTGGCAGGCTGTTAAACGTGTGTTGCGGTATCTTGCGGGCACTCGTGACATCAGCATATTCTTGTCTGTTCAGAATCCTTTGACGTTGCATGCATATTCTGATGCTGATTGGGCTGGTGATCGTCATGATTTCAAGTCTACGGGAGCTTTTGTTGTCTTCCTTGGTGGTCATCCTATTGCTTGGTCATCTAAGAAGCAATCGGGTGTTGCTCGTTCTTCGACTGAGGCTGAGTACCGTTCGGTTGCTGCTACAGCCGCTGAGGTTCGTTGGGTGGTATCCCTCCTCTCCGAGCTCGGTTTTTCTTCAACTTCCAAACTGGTTATCTATTGTGATAACATTGGTGCAACTTATCTTTCGGCAAATCCGGTATTTCATTCTCGCATGAAGTACATTGCCCTCGATTACTTTTTTGTTCGGAGTCTTGTTGAGTCTGGTGATCTACGTGTTACACATGTTTCTGCTGCCGATCAGCTCGTCGATGCACTCACGAAACCTTTGCCTCGGTTTCCGTTTCATGACTTGTTTGTCAAGATTGGACTCACCTCCGGTGCTCCATCTTGAGGGGGCGTATAGAGGGATAAATATGTATTTTTACATGTGTATTATTAGGTTAACCTATTTGTATAAATACCCTCATATGTGATTAATAATACTAAGCTTCCTTTTATTGATTATATTCACTTTCCTAAAACTTTACTCTCTCTCTACCGAGCAAAGGAGAATCCCAAGAATACGTTTAGAGATACAAAGAAGATCAGCAACGATTGATTCACTCGTCAAAAGTTGCCCGAAACAGAAATACCTGCGAATGAGAATGAACAAGAAAAGTTGGAGAAGAGTTTGCAAAATTCTTCACCAAAATGGCTCTCAAATCTCTCAAAAATCAATAAGATTTCGTCTCTTATGTGTTCAGACGTCTAGGAATGTTTTTAACACTCCAAAAGTCAAAAGGTGCAAAGACTTCAGAAGTTTTTTCCGAACGGTCACGATTTTTCGTTCATTTTGAACAGCTCAGAAAAATCAGGCGGGTCGCTCATTTTCCCGAGCGGTCGCTCATTTTCTCCAGTTTTGTTTATCAGAGAAAATGAGCTACCCGCTCATTTTCCAGAGCGGTCGCTCATTTTTCCCAGTTTTGTTCATAAGAGAAAATGAGCTACCCTCTCATTTTCCCGAGCGGTCGCTCATTTTCACCAGTTTTGTTCATCAGAGAAAATGAGCTACCCGCTCATTTTTACGAGCGGTCGCTCATTTTTTCCAGTTTTATTCATCAGAGAAAATGAGCTACCCGCTCATTTTTACGAGCGGTCGCTCATTTTTTCCAGTTTTCTTAATCAGAAAAAACGAGCTACCTACAATATCTTCCGACTAATCCTTAACACTTAACCAATTCATGACACGTCTTTTACAAGCATTTTACTCCACCACCATACTTGTAATACACGTGAAACATGAATCCTTTGAGTGATTTTAAAAGTCCACCAATCTACTCTAAAATCACTAACATGTATGAGACAGGAAAACCCACATGCAGCGGTCTGGCTGGGTTGCACAGCGGGTGGTTCGGACGAATGGTATGTTGCAGTTCGGATGAACAGAGTTGGACTAAGCCTTGAGTTCGGGGCTGATGGTCTCGGTGCGAGGTCTCTTGGTGGCGAAGGGAGTGAGGAATTCGGAACTGTGCATAGATTCTTAGTTGTGAGTAAGAATCTCCCAGATAGGTGCGTGAGTCTCTATCTGTCGCGTATGTGGTTTCTCGGTTTTGGACGTAGTTTCTCGGTTATGAGATGCATTTCTCGATTGCATAACGTGGGGGATTTCTCGGACATACTTGACGCTAATCTTGGGCATGTGCAGAAAGTCTCGGTCGGGTGACGATGTGCGACAATCTGAAAGGGGGCGAGGGAAAGGGACCGAGGAACGAGGCGAGAGCGAGTGAACAAAACAACGACGACAGTTTTATTAGTGGCAAAAGGAAACAAGGGGATGTCGGGATTCATTACAAGGTCAACATCGTTAATCGGAGTTGAATCGATGACAATAAAAAGAGATAAAGTGGCGTAGACTCGAGTTAATTTTTAGATGGGTCTCATGTTCGGCCGACCCTCTTTGTTATAGGTGGAGCTTAATAATCGAGTAAAGAATCTCACAAGATCCGAGATCTCCCTCGAATCCGTCCTAATATAATCTTCCCTAAAATGGATGATAAAGACCATATCTACTTGGTATAACAATCTAACCACCATGGTTCAATGAATCTAGATAAAAGCGAATGACCTTAGACCAAGTCCAGGTAAGCTACGAGAGATGGCGTCAAGTCTAAGTAGACCATGGATAAATTTATGGTTTATTGGGTTAAGGATTTTGAGCTCGGAGTTCTGGATTTCGAGTTTTGGGGTTCTGGGATTCGGGTTCTGAGGTTTGGTTTTTGGATTTTAGGATTAAGGGATAAGAGGTTAGGGATTTAGGTGTCAGGAATTCAGGGTTTAGAGTTCATGAGAGTAAATAGAAATGATCATTTCTATGTTTAAATCCCATTTGATTTGAGTAAAAAAAATCCCAGGGTTCTTTTGTTCGACTCGGACTTACGTTCCTGTTTTCAAAATAATTTTGAAATGTTGGGATCGTTGGAAACAAAGAAAATAATTATTGATCTCCAACGGATTACTCCAGAGTTCTATTAAACTTTTGAGTTGAGTAAATAAATTTTTTTGGATTTTAAATTCTGCTTCAGGTAAAATACAATTCAAATCCCTCCGGTAAATTCTTATTTCTATTTCTAACGTTTATTAAACTTCTAAATATCTATTGTGATAACATTGGTGCAACTTATCTTTCGGCAAATCCGGTATTTCATTCTCGCATGAAGTACATTGCCCTCGATTACTTTTTTGTTCGGAGTCTTGTTGAGTCTGGTGATCTACGTGTTACACATGTTTCTGCTGCCGATCAGCTCGTCGATGCACTCACGAAACCTTTGCCTCGGTTTCCGTTTCATGACTTGTTTGTCAAGATTGGACTCACCTCCC